GTGTAAGTACATAGATCTCTCTCCGCCCTCGTGTAAGTATATATATCTCCCTTCCCATTCGTGTAAGTACATAGATGTCTCTCCGCCCTCGCGTAAGCACATATATCTTCCTCCGCCCTCGTGAAAGTACATATAACTCACTCTGCCCTCGTGTAAGTACATAGAACTCACTCTGCCCTCGTGTAAGTACATAGAACTCAATCCGCCCTCGTGTAAGTACATAGAACTCACTCTGCCCTCGTGTAAGTACATAGAACTCACTCTGCCCTCGTGTAAGTACATATCTCTCTCTCCGCCCTCGTGTAAGTAAATATCTCTCTCCTCCCTCGTGTAAGTAAATATATCTCCCTCCGCCCTCGTGTAAGTTCATGCATCTTCCTCCGCCCTAGTGTAAGTACATAGATCTCTCTCCGCCCTCGTGTAAGTACATATATCTCCCTTCCCATTCGTGTAAGTACATAGATGTCTCTCCGCCCTCGCGTAAGCACATATATCTCCCCCCCCCCCTTCGTGTAAGTACATAGATGCCTCTCTGCCCTCGTGTAAGTGCATATATCTTATACGGCCTCGTGAAAGTACATAGAACTCACTCCGCCTTCGTGTAATGCATAGAACTCAATCTGCCCTCGTGTAAGTACATATAACTCACTCCGCCCTCGTGTAAGTACATATATCCCCCCCCCCCTTCGTGTAAGTACATAGATCCCTCTCCGCCCTCGTGTAAGTACATATAACTAACTCTGCCCTCGTGTAAGCACATAGAACTCACTCCGCCCTCGTGTAAGTACATATAACTAACTCTGCCCTCGTGTAAGCACATAGAACTCACTCCGCCCTCGTGTAAGTTCATATAACTCACTCTGCCCTCGTGTAAGTACATAGAACTCAATCCGCCCTCGTGTAAGTACATTTAACTAACTCTGCCCTCGTGTAAGCACATAGAACTCAATCCGCCCTCGTGTAAGTACATAGAACTCACTCCGCCCTCGTGTAAGTACATATAACTCACTCTGCCCTCGTGTAAGTACATATAACTCACTCCGCCCTCGTGTAAGTACATAGAACTCACTCTGCCCTCGTGTAAGTACATAGAACACCCTCTGCCCTCGTGTAAGTACATAGAACTCACTCCGCCCTCGAATATACATAGAACTCACTCCGCCCTCGTGTAAGTACATATAACTCACTCTGCCCTCGTGTAAGTACATAGAACTCACTCCGCCCTCGTGTAAGTACATAGAACTCACTCTGCCCTCGTGTAAGTACATAGAACTCACTCCGCCCTCGTGTAAGTACATAGAACTCACTCCGCCCTCGTGTAAGTACATAGAACTCACTCTGCCCTCGTGTAAGTACATAGAACTCACTCCGCCCTCGTGTAAGTACATAGAACTCACTCCGCCCTCGTGTAAGTACATAGAACTCACTCCGCCCTCGTGTAAGTACATAGAACTCACTCCGCCCTCGTGTAAGTACATAGAACTCACTCCGCCCTCGTGTAAGTACATAGAACTCACTCCGCCCTCGTGTAAGTACATAGAACTCACTCCGCCCTCGTGTAAGTACATAGAACTCACTCCGCCCTCGTGTAAGTACATAGAACTCACTCCGCCCTCGTGTAAGTACATAGAACTCACTCCGCCCTCGTGTAAGTACATAGAACATACTCCGCCCTCGTGTAAGTACATATAACTCACTCCGCCCTCGTGTAAGCACATAGAACTCACTCCGCCCTCGTGTAAGCACATAGAACTCACTCCGCCCTCGTGGAAGTACATATAACTCACTCCGCCCTCGTGGAAGTACATATAACTCACTCTGCCCTCGTGTAAGTACATATAATTCCCTTCGCCCTCGTGTAAGTACATACACCTCCCCCCGCCCTCGTGTAACTACATAGAACTCACTCCGCCCTCGTGGAAGTACATATAACTCACTCCGCCCTCGTGGAAGTACATATAACTCACTCCGCCCTCGTGTAAGCACATAGAACTCACTCCGCCCTCGTGTAAGTACATAGATCTCTTTCAGCTCTCGTGTAAGTACATAGATCTCTTTCCGCTCTCGTGTAAGTAAAAATATATCTCTCCACCCTTGTGTAAGTACATAGATCTCTTAAATGCTCAGTGTGTTTTGTACACAAACAGTAATTGAAAACTTATTCTGCAGCTTCCTTTGTTGAGCAAAGAATGCACCTGATCGGTGTCTCGACGTTAAACGACCTTAAACAAATCACTAAGCCACAAAATAAATTCAGCTACTAGAAAATGTAGAGATATTTACCCAAATAGCACTCAGGCAGGCAGTCATATGGACGGGTAATATGTTTACCAATTCCGCCCCTTAGTGAATATCAGAATCCATCTTGGGTAGGAGTGAAGGGAAATCGCTGAAAATACCACTTAACAGTAGTCGGGTGTATCACTAAATTTGTTGTATTTATATTCCTGGATTCATAGCAACCACGAAAACCACGAAAACAAACGAACATTTCATTTTCCACTTGTAATTACGATCCGAACGATGTTTAACGAAATGTTTTGGCGAAAATAAAGATCAATCGAGGCACGAATAATCTACCGTATAAGGAGGATGTTTATTACCAGTTACATGCACTCTGTCCCTGCAATATCCCCTTGTTTACAGGCATACTTCAGACTAAGCCTTGTCTTAAATAAGTCTGGCGATACTTTTTTTTATGACAGTAGAAAAGGTTTTGGTGAGAGATTTAATGCGTGACCACGCCTCTAAAGCATCAACTTCCGGAGGAAGCAAACGTGGCAGGGCCAGTACGAGACAGCGGATAAGTGACCTATCACAACACAGTCCAGTCGCCGTCCAATCATCGTCAGTCGAGGACAGCGTTCCATTATCACGCGATCCGACCAGATGGCTTGGAGCCATAAACAAATTAGGCAAGTAGGGTGAATATGGCAGTTATGATATTGCATCCTCTTCTTATTCGGTGAAATTGAATTTGTGAATGGTATGTTTACTTTATATAGTCAAATGCCAATTAACTTCATTTCGCAGGTTCGAAACCTGTTGTACCTGGAAATAATTCTGTACATAGTAAAGTACCTACTGGAATCGTTTTATACCACATTTTATAAATTATAAGTAACTTCATTTAAGTGTACGTACGAGAAAAAGACTCGTCGTACTATTTTTCTTACTTTGTTATACAGTCAGTAACCAGTACATCCATTCGCTATGTGTGTATGTTGTAGTATACGGTGTTTAAATACATAGTTATGTCATCAAAATCCGCATGCAACGCTATTACAGTAAAACCATCGTTTCATTTGCTACCTCGTTTACCGCCAACATATTTCGATGTTCATTTTTCTCTTGTTTTCTTAAGAATTCCTGTATACGTTTCATTCAATTGATCACCAAATCCCTTTATATCGCAAAACATTCTCTGGACAAATGATGGTAGTATAACGATTTTTACTGTCCTTACCGGGGGCAATAATAAGAAATCTTCTGCTGTTAGCAAAGGGTACTTAACATACCGCTTACGATGGAATGGAAACTCATCCGAATTAACACATTCAGGTAGACGTGTCGGACTTACAGGTTTGTGGAGTCTCGTGGTTGATCCCTGACATAACTGATGCAAGCAGAGTTATTGCTATAAATTACATAAAATTTGTATAGGATTTACAGGCCCTCGATAGCTCGTTAATAGTGCATCGTGCAGCGGTCATCCATCCAGCCACTGACCACACTCGACGTTGCTGGATTATAAGTCAGCGCGTCTCAGCGTTATACCGTATAACTGAAGGCAGCAGTATTTCCCCCTCCAATTCCCTTGCTATAAGAGACATATATATGAGTATAATTGTAAAGTTCACAACTTACATGTGTCACATGTTATGGAAGCATTAATACGATTCTTTCTGGGAGACAATTCAAAAGGTCCGTAACCAGGGTCGACAGGTCGTCATCGAAAATAACTACAATGCTCTGAAATCGGAAAGCAACGCCTTAAAAATACAAGTGATGGTTGTCAGATAATCCAGTTTTACCCTATTGGTGTTCTATGTACGCGGTGGATGTATTAGGGAGATTAGATAACAATGCAGTATGCCTATTTATTAAGAGAATTAAATAAAATGTACATAAATAATGTAGTAGGTATATGTATGCATTACATGGGTTGATTTACAATGCGGGAGGTTATTTTATGCCATGTAATGCAACGTCATGTATTTACATGTGATAATTACATGGTGTTGTGTAACTCTTTTTCACTGAAACTGTGATATCCACTGATGTAATCGAGTAACGTGACGTCATGAAAAATAATGAACACTGAAACGGGGTAATGATGAGAAAGGATTTTTAGAAAATATTATACAAACATAAACAACAGTTGTAGGTAGGTATTATAATACAAACATAAGCAACAGTTGTAGGTATGTATTATAATACAAACATAAACAACAGCTGTAGGTATGTATTATAATATCAACATAAGCAACAGCTGTAGGTATGTACTATAATACAAACATAAGCAACAGTTGTAGGTATGTATTATAACACAAACATAAACAACAGTTGTAGGTATGTATCATAATACAAACATAAGCGACAGTTGTAGGTATTATTATAATACAAACATAAGCAACAGTTGTAGGAATGTATCATAATACAAACATAAGCAACAGTTGTAGGTATGTATTATAATATCAACATAAGCAACATCTGTAGGTATGTACTATAATACAAACATAAGCAACAGTTGTAGTATGTATTATAATATCAACATAAGCAACATCTGTAGGTATGAACTATATTACAAACATAAGCAACAGTTGTAGGAATGTATTATAATACAAACATAAACAACAATTGTAGGTATGTATCATAATACAAACGTAAGCAACAGTTGTAGGTATGTATTATAATATCATCATAAGCAACATCTGTAGGTATGTACTATAATACAAACATAAGCAACAGTTTTAGGTATGTATCATAATACAAACATAGGCAACAGTTGTAGGTATGTATTATAATATCATCATAAGCAACATCTGTAGGTATGTACTATAATACAAACATAAGCAACAGTTGTAGGTTTATATTATAATACAAACATAAACAACAGTTTTAGGTATGTATCATAATACAAACATAAGCAACAGTTGTATGTATGTATTATAATACAAACATAAACAACAGTTGTAGGAATGGATCATAATACAAACATAAGCAACAGCTGTAGGTATGTATTATAATACAAACATGAGCAACAGTTGTAGGTATGTATCATAATACAACCATAAGCAACAGTTGTAGGTATGTATTATACTACAAACATAAACAACAGTTGTAGGAATGGATCATAATACAAACATAAGCAACAGCTGTAGGTATGTATCATAATACAAACGTAAGCAACAGTTGTAGGTATGTATTATAATACCAACATAAGCAACAGCTGTAGGTATGTATCATAATACAAACATAGGCAACAGTTGTAGGTATGTATTATACTACAAACATAAACAACAGTTGTAGGAATGGATCATAATACAAACATAAGCAACAGCTGTAGGTATGTATCATAATACAAACAAGCAACAGCTGTAGGTATGTATCATAATACAAACAAGCAACAGCTGTAGGTATGTATCATAATACAAACCTAAGCACCAGTTGTAGGTATTATTATAATACAAACATAAGCAACAGCTGTAGGTATGTATCATAATACAAACATAAGCAACAGTTATAGGTATGTATTATAATACAAACATAAACAACAGTTATAGGTATGTATTATAAGCAATAGCAAACTACGTGTCCATCTGAAGTGTCAGACTCTCGAAATGGGGGGGGGGGGCAATTAATTTATGCAATTGGAGATGTCAGATGAACACTTTTTTGGTATTGCCTATTCCGTCTTTTCGTATTGCAGAGTTATCTTCTCTTGTGAGCAGGTATCGATTGCTACTTAATTAGTTTGTGTGAGAAAATTACGTCCTTTTCTCAAATCATTATGACGTTACTCTCACAAACAAATGACGTAACAATCAAGACTTAGTATTGGCTATTGTAGGAACTCAACTGTTAGAAAATAATTATTTATGTGGTAAATTTCGTCAGATCCACTAATTGTGTCAATATCTTACAGGTAACCAAAACATCCCAAGGAAAAATCAGGTTTTGAAGGCATTGTCTTCATTGAAGCCAGTAGATACAACGTGACAATGGTTCCTAATCTCGTGTGTTATCATTTCATTTAATAAAAGACAATCCCATTGCTGACAGTTTGTGTTGTTCTCTTATTTTCTCAACATCGTATGAATGAGTTGTGTTTACCCCCGTAAGTATATGTTTATTAGATTATTACTCTTATGTCTCGAAATTAAGCCAACGCTTTAACATTTAATCTTCCTTTTTTATTACATTTTATCATATCAAGTAAAACCTTTTCATTTCAACAAAGAATTTATTATGTGTACGTAGTTCTGTTGCTGTTGATATCGAAGCATTTTTGTTTTATATTATTTGTAAGAGGGAAGAAATGTCAAGAGGGAGCACATGTTGAATATTTATCCCAATTATTGCAATACGTGAATTCATATATAGATAAACAAGACATTTCTATAGTGTCACCATAACCGCAATCCGAACTCCAAATTACCAAACTAAGGCAAACTACGACCAAAGGAGGGACGCTTGAAAAAGTACATGGAGAATAAGACCAAGTGGGTAAGTGTCCTAAAAATCATCGACGACATTCGTGTACATCCAGGTCAAACACAAACAATGTCACATCGATCGTCCTTATAGCGAGAAATGGAGAAATGACGTCAAAACAACAAGGCACTTTGACAAACCTAATCAGAATCATCGTCCTTCGTATCACAGAAAGTTTTGAAACCCTGTTATAGATTTATCCATTAACGATCGAAAAATCGAAATCGTCCAACTTATCGTACAGCTTAATTGTTTTCCTTGAAACATGTGAAATGTCCAAATATGAAATGCAGTACTATTTTAACATATTATGTGATTTTATTCAGGTTATTCATTTATGTATTTACTTACTTATTTGCAGAATGAAATAGCTTGTGTCGGTTGCATTTCAATGTATACATATAATAATATTATAATTTCTTGCGAGTGACACCCAAGGCCTTGTTGAAAAGCATTGGCCATCACAAATATCCATATTTAGCTGTCGTTTCTGACTGCAAATGTAAATCGGAAATCTGCACGCCTTATAAAGAAGTCTCTGTTGAGGGCGACGACATGACATAGCTGCACTCGAGAACAAGGCTAATTGTGCTGTCTGCCTAGTGATGTTGTTAGCGCAGACTGTATTACCAAATGGAATTATCATTTGTTTTTTTAAATGAAAAAACTCGACATTAGCTCTGTAGAGTGTAATATCAAACCATCTTAAACAAATACATGATTAAAACTCCTTTTTACCAATAACAACCAATAATTCCTCAGCCCTAATCATACATTCCAAGATTTCCATTCTTGATATACATCATTTTCCACACCATTGGAAAACATGATGACAAAATACAAGGCTCTGTACGCACCACTTTGCGGGTGATACGAGGTAACTAGTCTAAAAACTGTTGTACGCACCACCTTGCGGGTGATACGAGGTAACTAGTTTAGAAACTGTTGTACGCACCACCTTGCGGGTGATACGAGGTAACTAGCCTAGAAACTGTTGTACGCACCATCTTGCGGGTGATACGAGGTAACTAGTCTGGAAACTGTTGTACGCACCACATTTGGCTGACACCGGGTAACTAGTCTAGAAACTGTTGTACGCACCACCTTGCGGGTGATACGAGGTAACTAGTCTGGAAACTGTTGTACGCACCACCTTTCGGCTGACACCGGGTAACTAGTCTGGAAACTGTTGCACGCACCACCTTGCGGGTGATACGAGGTAACTAGTCTAGAAACTGTTGTACGCACCACCTTGCGGGTGATACGAGGTAACTAGTCTGGAAACTGTTGTACGCACCACCTTTCGGCTGACACCGGGTAACTAGTCTGGAAACTGTTGCACGCACCACCTTGCGGGTGATACGAGGTAACTAGTCTAGAAACTGTTGTACGCACCACCTTGCGGGTGATACGAGGTAACTAGTCTGGAAACTGTTGTACGCACCACCTTTCGGCTGACACCGGGTAACTAGTCTGGAAACTGTTGCACGCACCACCTTGCGGGTGATACGAGGTAACTAGTCTAGAAACTGTTGTACGCACCACCTTGCGGGTGATACGAGGTAACTAGTCTGGAAACTGTTGTACGCACCACCTTTCGGCTGACACCGGGTAACTAGTCTGGAAACTGTTGCACGCACCACCTTGCGGGTGATACGAGGTAACTAGTCTAGAAACTGTTGTACGCACCACCTTGCGGGTGATACGAGGTAACTAGTCTGGAAACTGTTGTACGCACCACCTTTCGGCTGACACCGGGTAACTAGTCTGGAAACTGTTGCACGCACCACCTTGCGGGTGATACGAGGTAACTAGTCTAGAAACTGTTGTACGCACCACCTTGCGGGTGATACGAGGTAACTAGTCTGGAAACTGTTGTACGCACCACCTTTCGGCTGACACCGGGTAACTAGTCTGGAAACTGTTGCACGCACCACCTTGCGGGTGATACGAGGTAACTAGTCTAGAAACTGTTGTACGCACCACCTTGCGGGTGATACGAGGTAACTAGTCTGGAAACTGTTGTACGCACCACCTTTCGGCTGACACCGGGTAACTAGTCTGGAAACTGTTGCACGCACCACCTTGCGGGTGATACGAGGTAACTAGTCTAGAAACTGTTGTACGCACCACCTTGCGGGTGATACGAGGTAACTAGTCTGGAAACTGTTGTACGCACCACCTTTCGGCTGACACCGGGTAACTAGTCTGGAAACTGTTGCACGCACCACCTTGCGGGTGATACGAGGTAACTAGTCTAGAAACTGTTGTACGCACCACCTTGCGGGTGATACGAGGTAACTAGTCTGGAAACTGTTGTACGCACCACCTTTCGGCTGACACCGGGTAACTAGTCTGGAAACTGTTGCACGCACCACCTTGCGGGTGATACGAGGTAACTAGTCTAGAAACTGTTGTACGCACCACCTTGCGGGTGATACGAGGTAACTAGTCTGGAAACTGTTGTACGCACCACCTTTCGGCTGACACCGGGTAACTAGTCTGGAAACTGTTGCACGCACCACCTTGCGGGTGATACGAGGTAACTAGTCTAGAAACTGTTGTACGCACCACCTTGCGGGTGATACGAGGTAACTAGTCTGGAAACTGTTGTACGCACCACCTTTCGGCTGACACCGGGTAACTAGTCTGGAAACTGTTGCACGCACCACCTTGCGGGTGATACGAGGTAACTAGTCTAGAAACTGTTGTACGCACCACCTTGCGGGTGATACCGGGTAACTATTCTCGAAACTGTTGAACGCACCACCTTACGGGTGATACCGGGTAACTCTTCTGGAAACTGTTGTACGCACCACCTTTCGGCTGACACCGGGTAACTATTCTGGAAACTGTTGAACGCACCACCTTGCGGGTGATACCGGGTAACTCTTCTGGAAACTGTTGTTCGCCCCACCTTTCGGCTGACACCGGGTAACTAGTCTGGAAACTGTTGTACGCACCACCTTTAGAATAACCCCGTGTTAGTATACCGACAGTTTTGACTTTGAAAAACGTATATTTCGATCGTGTCTTTCTCCCATATATATTTTCAACAAAACATGTATTCTTTGCGTTTCAATAAAACACCATTTTTAAAGCTTCTTTTGTATCTCTATCCCCAAAGACAGACATAAAGTTGTACACTTTGGTATGTATGAACGCTTATGTTACAGTGGAGATTGAAAAAAAAAACTTTAATTCATTATTTTGCCTCCATTTACTCAATAAGTGTTGTGCTTTTAACGGTTATCATATTGCATCTTCAAAATGTGTTCTGCAGAATAAAACTGGTAAATTTCTCAAATCATCACGAATGAAAATCAAAATGAGTATATTGTAAAAATGGAATAAACAGCTTAAAACTAAGTTAAGTTAATATCTTGAATGTTGACACCATCTTTGAGCAGTTCTCATGATATGAGTTTTACTACAATACTACATTATTGAAGACATATCAGTAAGTGAAATACAATAGTTAATTAATTAGTATTTCTTTAAGATACGCTGAGTTAAAAAAAAACAATTCTTACAGACTCGGTTGTTTTGATTCATATCTATTTAAAAATATCTGAAAATGAAGGTTTAAAGCCACTCAAAGTAAAGCACATATTTGTTTCTGCCTTAACACCGTATTACAAAACAAGACCAAACGATTGTTTCAAATCTTACACACGTGAACACAAAAGCACAACGATAAATCCGCGGATAATAACGTACGTAAAATCCTTTAAGGTAGGTAGCAGAGCAAATTTACATGCAAAAATTACTTGATTCAGCCTCTTTTTCATTATTATTCATTCAGGTTTGTATTAAATGTTTCATGTGAATAAATTAAAACAGTGTTCGAACAATGTAAGTATATCATCAGATTTTAATATGCAATGGAGCCTACATGACGCACCCATCTTAGTTCCCAGTAAATGTGACAGGAATGCGAGATGGCTGATTTAATGAAACTGTTTCGTATAGGAAAATAACACTAATCTGTCCCCAAATTGACAAGATATTATGACAACTGGATTAGTGGTGGCTGAATTAACAAAACTAAACAAAAAGATGACAGTGTCCAGGAATCAGGCAGGGCGTGTTGCGATACGGATCGATAGTATTTCGCTAACATGACTCCCGGCTTGTGCTAAAGCATGCTTCAAAGCGTTAGTGATATTCGACGTATACCTGTCGTCGTGTCAACACAAAGAGTGCAATAGGAAACGCATCCGGCTCTTTGTTAGTGGCAATCACGTTTCCGTATGTCATCGAGGGGCGGTGGAATAGCTCAGACCTCCAATCGGCGTTCAAGGAGGTACTCAGAATAGAAATCCAAACCTTTCGACGACACATGTCAGAAGACAGGAATGATGAAAAAAACTGTTATCTAGAATTTCCGTCAGACGGCAGATATGCTGGTCTCTTTCCTAATCAGACTGTGTGCTGTCTCAAATCAGACTTGTTAAAGACGAAAGCGGACGAAAAGGGATCATAACATTCACGTTCCTAGCCAATTCGTAAGTATTAACTATTGGTTGACGGATAAGTTTGATTGCAATGATTTCTC